TATTCATTTTGCTTTGATAACCATGATATCCAAACAGAATAAGCACAGCGCATTTCGGGTGATACGCTCCTGTGATAGCAATCTGAAAGCTGAATCTTGCGTGCTATAATTATGGGATTAATGCAGATCCTTCCATTAACTATAATAGTTTGTTTGAATAATGTTTCATAGCTTCACAGTTTCTTCTCAGTGGCATTGTGCGCATTGATATAAAAACTTCAGATTACATTAAATAGTTTTATATTACATAAAGTTGCAAATCGGTTTATTTTATTTACAATGAAATGATGGGAAGATTAATATTGGACTACCATTGAAAACCGTGAAGCACCGGACGTCCATTACGTCAGAATATGAGACTTCTCACTAGTGCGTTTTAAAAAGGGTTCATTTTAGATTGAGTAAATACCCTGAAAATGACCTATCTTGACATTAAAGAACTTTTCCGTATTGCCATCTATAAGGTGAGCTTGTTCATTGTTCACTCTACTTTTTTTACCAATGAACTTCAAAAACAGGATTAAACTGACCAGATAGTCAAGAACACATGATTAAGTAAATAGGTTTAACACTTTCAAAGAAAACTGACAAGCTGTTTATGAAAAGTAAATTGTGTACTTTTGAAAACAACTACATTGACAAATGATCATTGTAAATATTTGGTATAATAGTGACAAAAATAGGTATGATTAGACAATTTATGTTGACAATAAACGTGTTTTTTCTTGATGACATAAAAAAGTTGCTTAAGTTGACTTAATAAAACATGACCTCATGTGTTTTGTAAACAAAATATATGTCTATGAATGAAATATAGATAAACGTTAAATAAATTACAAAATTCCTAATGTTTGTATTCTATATCCAAAATTTTCACTGGACATAGAGTACTGTTAGGCGTATGATAACGAAGATAAATAATATTCTATGTTTTCAGTTACTTTTGATGAAAACATCTCTGGCAAAAGCACTTTCAAATATTAAAAATACTGATAAATGAACGGATAATACTGTTTGCAATAACTTTTCATCTGGCACCACAACAGTCGTTCAAGTATAAAACGTCTAATGTCCTTACAATCCTCCCATATTTATTTTTACAAGTTAGATTTATCGCATTCAAATATTATTGATGGTATTTTTCTAAATATGAATCTTGTAAACATGTGAAGAATTTGTTCATACTTATACCACCTTTCTTTTTAAGGAATATGTTCTACATCGTCCATTCACAAGCATCCTTAAAGATTATTTATCAATTAATTTTATACTAAAATTTTTGTGAAAGATGATGATGATAAGCTTCATTGTAAAAATGCATCTCGTGAAAAGAATGCAAAATTTAGACCCACAGTGACAGCTCCAATTTTTCCCTGAACATGGGAAATATATCACAACTGCCACTTCAATGTGCATTAAAGGAGTATTTTAACAAATGCAAAAGAAGTATCTTTAATACTTCTGTTTTCCTGCATCTTAATCTAATATTCAATTTTTAAAAAGGTTAAAGAGTGTTCGATGCACATTTTTAGACTATACTTCTATCTCTGACTTTATTGTAAAACTATTTCTATGAAACCAGTTTACCAGAGTTATTACTAATAGTTAGACAATCACCTAGCTATATTCTTATCTCTGTGAATAACCGTAAACTGTAGTTGGAGGAACACAAGGTGCACCATAAGGATCTGTTCTTTCCCTCATCTTTTCCCATTTTTAATGCCTGATCTTTAACAAAAAATTTCGATGAAACAGGTTCATTATCATTTCTGACCTCACGCATCGACGATAAATCTTGGAAGTTTGATATTGGTTTGAGCGTTGTGATAATCCTTTTTCACACTATTATTGCCTTTTCTATATATCATAAAAAAATACAACTGCCGACTGTTAGATTTCATCTGAAGGTGGTAGGTTATAATGAGAACAGGCGTTCGACAGCAATCAACTTCACACTTCGAACTATCCCAAAAACGCCGGTGCTACACCGTTTAGGACAGTAGGGTTTGCCAATAAGCAGAATCAAATTAAATCTGAAAATTATTTCTTGAGATCGTTTATAGCTTTTCGTTCAACGCGATTTCATGAAACTACTAACATTTTTTTTAAAGTTTAAAAGCTTTTTAACCAAGTAAGCTAGATTCCAGAGCTTTTATTATTACTTAATCCGAAATTTCTTTCTTAGAAAATGTACTATTCGAATTTAAGCTTGTTTATTTTTCACTGAAATGGCTTGTAAACATTTTTTAAATTGATACCTACAATGACCCTGTAAAATATCAACATTCTGTTTCAATGGTAGACAGAAAATTGAGAACATGTCTCGTTGTAACTCGATTATACTACCTCGAAATGGAAGTTATGGTGGATGTTTGCTTACAGTTACATAACATATTATATCTGAAGGAATATTTTAAGTACAGGGAAATTCTTTTACCAGTACCAGTCAATTAAATCGGTCTGCTGATTTCATATCATCTTGTTTCGGCAACAAAAGATAAATAAAATCGATAATCAAACAAAATTCGTTATTTTTGAATTTGCAACCATGTGTTTGTTTAACTGAATTGAAGAAATGTTAGTTAGTTAGTTGAAAAACAATTCAATAAAAAATTCCGTCTGTAAACGAAACTAAATAAATCTGGAATTTACAATTGCAAAATGAAATTATCCGATGATTTATAATCAAATCAGTAGAATGCATGAAGCATTTGTATAAACTTCAATTAGCTTAACTTAAAGAAATATATAATCAGTGGTTTGATATTATTTATACAAGTTTGACAGAGAAAGAAAAGTGTTTCCCTAGAAGTTAAGAAAAAAAAATTTCAAAATCATTGTATAACAAGAGACAAATGGAGCACTAATTTCTGGGAGGGCAGGGGTAAAAAGTATACTGTACTGAAAAAAAACAGTTTGCTCACTAAGTATACTGTTGATTAACTGTAAAGAAACGCTTTGAATTTAACTATTTGTCTAGCTGAGAAAATAAGAATATGGAATTCATTAGTTTGTTTGTTTTTATTCAAATTCCATATGAGTGCCTGCAGATAATAAGATAACTCTTAGTGGATCAGTTAGCTTTATTTGCATTCAAAAACAGCATGGTTATTTCGATGTTATCGATAATCATTGTAGATAGTATTACACTTTTTATTGAAATCGATTATGTTTTTATTCGATAATTTATTTTTTTAATTATTTATTGTAATGCATCTGATATCGTAAAATAAATACGAAAAATACTACTTCTATTTCTTCATTATATGAAAATATTTTCTAAATGAATTTTCAAAGTAGAATAATATGCTTTGTGTAACTGTGAAATACATATTGCATCACTAGAAAATGGACAAAAGCCTAGTTGCATGTGAAATAATATTGTAACTACTGTTTTCGGAACATTTGCATATATATATATCGAAAAATATTAGCAACACTCCGAATTTTATTTTGTAGAATAATTTTTTATTTGCTGTACAAAACAAACTTAAAAAAAAGAAACATTTACAACGCATTTTAGATCATCAATACATAAAAGAGATTCGACAGAAATTGATTTTTTATTTCAAAACAATTCATGTATGCTTTACTTTATGAAAATTGTCACTTGAACATTCTAACTTGACATTGCACTTTTCAGTCTATCAATCACATCTTCCTGGATAACGTTTACAATCTTTTACAAGCATGTGATTTATCAATTAGTTGAATAAAGTAGCATTCTTGAAAGTTTTTTTTAAGATTTTAAACTTGAATAAATATTCTGTAATATTCATATATCTGCATCCATTCACATTACTATCATTGACATTTTATTGATGATTGTCTAAGAGAACTTCAAAAATAAAAATTGGCTTATTTTAAAAATCAGAATTCATCAACACAATTCAACGTGTTATCAGTTCGATTTCATTTTATAATACAATCGATGTTTTGTGGGAGAGCAGTTTAAAGGATTTTTACTTGATCAGCTTTGGATAAGTTTTAAGATTACTTCATTTGTCAACATAAACTTAAAACTTCAAAAATGGTATGAATGAATAGTAAAGGAAAAAGAATGCTTCAGAGTTTTGTTGAAAGTAAATCAAATGTAAACAACTCTTCTTTTTTAGTGACCGAGAGTTGTTTGAATTTAGATGCTATTGCTATTCCAGCATGGTAACTCTCGAAAACCAGTGAGCATTGTTTAATGATATTGGCTCAGTTTGATGATTGTTGACAGCGCACATCCAACAAGCTCACACGTTAATAATCTCAGGACCCTTAGATTATACTGTGCAGATTTAATCAGTAAATATTAAAGATCTAGAAAATAAGGTTATTATCAACCAAATGAACTATGCTATAAATGGCATAATATTGAGAATCTTCACTATTGGATTATGGTTTATTAGTTTAAAGTTTTTGTGACAGTCTTGAATGAAACAACTGTAAATTCCTTCCTTGCACCCGGTCATTGAGATAAACCGTTTTGATATCTCCATGCACAAAAGAGCAAAGTAACGATATTCTGTAAGGGAAAGAAATAACTTATTGTTTTTTAAAACAGTATTGATTTTTGAATCAGCATGTTGATTTTAAACTATGTGAAATCCCTCACGTCATCAGCTGCACCGTATCACAATGCCTTCTAAACGTTACAAAAGAACACAATAATATGAATCATAAAAACGCCAATAAAATTCTAGGAAGTCTTATATAACAACTTGAGAAATTTGTTCATCTGAAGTGATTCTTGCACAGAGAGCATTCTTAGTCAACAAACCTCAATGACCGTTGGTTTAAGCAAGATTATTTTTGTTTGAGCTTCCTCCTAAATCTGACCAATCGTATTTAACCTATAAATTTTTAGCTCTACTGATTGGTCCGTTACGTTTACCTTGAAGGAATAATTTAGTAAATCAAGCAAACAAAATTATCCTAAGAAACAGTTTATAAAAACTAAATAACATTTTCAATATTCTTTAGTCATTATATTTCATAACAAAATCACAACTAGCAAGTGATGTTGACGGGTGAATAAAATCAAATATCCGAACTATGGTTTTGCATTAGAGTTTAAGGATTTATTTCCCACTTCTAAGTTATAATCAAGCCAATTAAATAGCAATTTAATTGATAAATATGAATCTATGAATTTGTATAAAACCATAGGTTTTATATATTCCTTGACATAACTTCATATGTTTTGCATTCAATATCTAAATGAAAAAGGATTTATTGTGGAAGTTTATTTTACTTTTCTGTTTAAAAATGAATCATTCAATGTTTCAAGATCATATTATCACGTGGGATATTAATAACAAGCTGTAAGTTTTAAATTTATTTAATCAATAATTATTGAACAGTTTTACTTTGTTACCTGTATTTTCGAAGTAGTTCCTTATACAGCCGTATAAACAATGAGACTCTGAACATGTGCTGCATGCCGTATGTCTATCATTATTTAACCCCTGATTATTTTGAATGTAATTATCTAAATACATCTGGTTCAGAGCATAATAACTGATAATTAAATATAATGTTTAATAATTATCAATCACTCAACAGAATAACTGTCCGTAACTAATGAAAAATAGCTCAAACATTTAATAATTTTTGACCATAATGTCTGTAAATTTCTCAGCATACCAGAAGAAAAGTTCCCCTTCTGATAAAATCGGTTGATGTTCATTTCTGGTGAAATATGTTATTATTATTGGAAAATATCACTGTAAGCGTGGAATAGGTGTCAATTATAATTGTCTAAGTTCAAGTCTGAAATGAAGTTTTTATAAAAGTATTTTTTGAAAATCTAAAGTTACGCCAAAAACTGCATAAATTAGTGAACATTTAGCTATTCAAGTTAAGTTATAATATAATTTATATAATAATATTGTAAATAAACTTTTATCAAGTGATTATCATGTGACGTGAACTTTTGACTTGTCGTACAGAGTAGTAGAAAGTATATAAAGTACTGGTTATGATAACTGTTATTTGAATCAACTGCTTTATATGAAACTGGGAATTAATATTAGACATGCCTATAAAAATTATTTATTCCTAATAAAGGAGATATAATTAGATCAGATGGTAGAAATGTAATTTTACCAAAATATACATTGCTGTGAGTGCTTCAAAATTAGTCTAGATGTCTGAAACAACTAATCATGTGAAATTGTGAAAGTCTCTATGTTGGGTACGTTAGATCCCCAGAACTCGCTTGATAAATATCTTTATTTTGGATTTATTCCATGGACCGATCAGTTGACCTTGAGATCACATTTCTCACCAGGAAAATCCTTGGCTGTGATTGGTTACCGTATCGTTTTAGTGTGCTATATTTGTGACCATCCCAAGGACGTCTCCATAGGGTATAAATGAACGCAATTTGTGTGCCTAGATTCATTGTGTGCTGGCTGAGTGTTTGTAGAATACACTTTCTACTCTATATCAAGGCTTCTCACTGGTAAAATTTGGAAAATCGGATCACAGTAGCTTACCTAGACTCTGGTTCATTGTTTTGTTTTTCGTTATTCGACTAAGGTGAACTCGTATTAGTTTAAGCATACCTAGGGACGAGCGTAACACTCTGATTACTGATCGCACACTGCAGTATAATGATTTTGATTATGAATGAGGTTATTTTAGGATAAAATTTCAGGAATTTCATATGGATATCATAACTTTTACATAACATTGAACAAACTTACATAAAGAATATTTCATTAAACATATTAATCATTGGCTTATTTAAATATGGTTGTATGAATTTTTTACCAACAAATAACAGCGATTGCATTAAAACTAATGTAAACATCTGGACAGCGTGAAAGATTTATCAAGTTTAGTTTACAAATTCCCGCCATCCGTATATCAACAGTTGCGCACCTATACTTGTCTAACTGAATTCGCACACTATGCTTATATGCATGTTCATATTCTACATGATCAAAGTTAAGTGTTACCTTAAAATTGAGAAAAGAGATACTTAGCTTTTAATCGTGTTTATCAACGTATCCCAATCATTTAGTGAAATGTAATGAAATTGATGTTATTGTACAATACTGAAATCAATGTTTATATTATTAACTATATAAATACAAACTATTTTGATAAAACGTCTGAAAAGTTTGTAACTTTGCCTTGAGATAATTTTGTAGGAAAAAACATTACTTTCTAAAATGATTGGAAGTCAAATCTATTCTGTCTAGAATTATCATGTTGGTTGTATAATGTTAATTTTTTTTCTGTATATGTTATTTGGTTGTATACGCATTCTTCTTTCCAACTAAAAATAATACAAAACCATACAAAAACATTGGAAATTTCACTATATCACTGACAAAATATTTGATTAAGATCAGTATGTTTATATAGGTAGACTGCTGGGATATCGTAGCCAGGTTTTACCTCATAGTTGTATGGATATTTCGTTTGTTTATCATACAGCTCATACTTAACAGATTTTATCGAACGAATCAATACAAAATAAGGCTATCAATCCACGGGAAACATGAATGTCATTCATATTGTGGAAATACTTACTTACTTACCTACTTACGCCTGTTACTCCCAATGGAGCATAGGCCGCCGACCTGTTTTCTCCTACCAACTCTGTCCTGCGCTTCCCTTTCCATATCTTTCCAGTTTTCGTTCATCCTTCTCATGTCTTTCTCTGTTTCTCGGTGTAATGTGTTCCTTGGCCTTCCTCTTTTCCTTTTGCCATAAGGGTTCCATGTGAGGCTTGTCCTGTGACGCAGTTGGGTGCTCTTCGCAGTGTGTGTCCTATCCACTTCCACCGCTTCTTCCTGATTTCTTCCTCCACTAGAATCTGCTTTGGACATTATAATAAAGATATGGTCAATAAAATTTTAATTGCTTGAAAATGTCCATTATTTTTATTTTAAACACACTCATTCATTGGTTACTTTCATGAATGAGCTATATACAATTAAGGAGTGACAAGTACATTTATTGATCAGCGGCTCATAATTGCTGATCCCCCTAACTTGAGTCGGACAGAGTTTGCACACGACGAGATGTGCAGATGTGATCCATGTAAAGAATAATATATTTAAAATCCAATATATTTAGAATATTGTATGAAACTATATGAACATAATAGAAAATGTATTTTTGGATCATAAGATACTTTGACAGATACCAGCCCTCATCAGGCTTATTCTTTTGGTTGACTTCATGCTTCTAATATTCTATAAATTCAAAATAATCTAAAATTATTATTGGTAATGTTCACTCTGATGTAATATAAGCAGATAGTTCAGGTACTTGTATCAATTCATTTGTGCAATGCTAAAACATACACATAAGTAGATAAAAAGATAGGCATCTACATATTTTATTGAGGATATTCTTACTTATCTATAACTTCGAGACCAGGGAAGTTTTGTGGGCTTAAACTATTTGTCTTCTTTTTTTGAATATGAAGCTATCATTTTAACAGTTTGTAAGAACTCTATTTAAACTTTGGTTTTCAAATTCATTTACTTTTCAAATAACTTATTACTCAATAATGCATAATTTATTTCCTGTAAAAGTTAATTATTTTTAATATTTCGAATGACATTCAATAGCTTCTGTGTTGCTGAAGAAAATGCAACTGAATGGATTGAATTCATAGTATTCTGCTAATTTTCTCATTCTCACTTTGCTTTTCGTAGCATCCTCAATAGTGAGAATTTTTAGTTTGCTTCCTCTGAAAATGAAACTTAACTTTTAAACTATCTCAATCATGAATCGACTAATTTTAGATCATCATTAGAAAAGAATCTAGAAACACACGATGGCCAGTACCTCATCAGCAGTGGGCATCCACCGCTCTCGTCACCCACAGGTGCTTCGGGCCTACTTGCGAACGTTTAACCTTCAGACCACTGACATGGCATCTAATAGAGTTATTGTCTAAATTTGATCAATTCACTGTCATGCAAAACTTCATCTACTGTCTTCGGTGGGTTGAGCTTCACACATGAGCTAGGTTGAACCATTGAGCTAGTCAGTGATGAGTACATAGTTTCTCAAGGCCGTGGATTGGTCGCAGTTAGACACTAACGCCGTTGGATGTCGACTCAATGGTTCAGAGGTTAGGAGTTCACGCGCAAGACAGAAGGTTCTGAGTTTTATTTATGCAAGTCGTGTGAGTTGTGGATGTGCACTGCTGATGAGTGACATACTAGGAAGAAGCGACCATCCAGTGATACCAGGTTTCTACTGGTAGTCCTGATTTCAAAGTAACTCACTAATCTCCGCAACCCTATAATGAAAATCATATCGTTTAGTAGTATGTTTCAATAAATAATATTTTTAAGTTTCAAAGTTACTTACATTAAAGGAAATATGTTTTGTTATATCATTTTCAGTAAACCTTACTCTCTCAAACTTCATAGTAAGTAATATGACTATTTTCAAGATAGTCAGTGTTAAAGTGATGCAGATTTTTTATCACAAAATGATACTAGAAATAATAAGTAGCTTAATATTTATCCAATTTACAGGAAATATCTCATTGAATCCTGTAGTATGAAGTAGATTATCAGAAAAGCATCAACGTTTTATAATAAGTATTGCAAAAACTGAATATACTGAAAGTATCTAATAATACAACGAAAAAGAAATATTTCAGTATGAAGACAGTATTTATTCTTTAACTGTACTAAAATTTCATACTTTCCTCCCCATAAATTAGTCGAAATTGAGGATTTTCGACGTGATCCAGTCTTTTGATGAAATACAAGGTAAACATTTAAAAGCTAACGTCTGTTTACGCATTTTCGTCAGTTATCAAATTTGAAATTCTTGTTTAGTCACTTTTTAAATCAGACTTCACTTCACTGTGTTAATACATTTTGAAAATATGCACTTATAAGCATACTTTTTGAACGTGAAGCGTTTCAACCTACTTGACATTAATAAACTATCAAACTATTTTAAGAATCAAAAGCCTACTTAATTACTGAGCTCTTCATGGTAGAATGAAATATTTTGAGGTAAATCAAACTAACGTTATTAAACTTTTTCAATCTGATATGAAGCTTAATGTCATCATAAGTTTTTAAACAGTTTTTATAATTTATATTAACCAGTATAGAGCATTCAATATAAACGGGTGTCTCTGAAGTATTGCTGTACATTCGGCTCGCTCATGCTTCGCATGATTTTCAGAAGCATAATTAACAAGGAAAAAGTTTTAGATCTTACATCTTTGTTAAAATTTTCAAAACCATGTTGATTACAATTTAAAAAAACTGTTCTATTTTTTTCACGTTAAAATAAGTGTGTGTTATAAAGCACATTTCAATTAACT